ACTAATCATATTCATAAATTTAAAAAAAATTAGACATATATTTACTACCACTTTTTTTATTTTTAATAGATTTTGTATTATATAACTCTTTCGCCAACTATTTAAATTCATAGTGGTCGCAATGATTTTAAATAAACTATATTAAACTATACATAAGAAACCGTATGGGGGGGTCTTGAAAGTGAATGATTGAAAATAGTTATGCTTTATTGACTACTGTACAAAACTACAATTATTAGCTTGACGCTTTTACAGATTTTATAAAACTTTTAAAATTGAAGCAAAGCTCGTTTGCGTTCCATGCTATGACATTAAAAAACGTAGTTGTATTTGTTTTGATTATAGATTTATCTTTTTTGAAAAAAAATTTACTAACTGCCTTTAACCTTCAATCATTCCAGTGATTCTAATAATAACAGTGATCTTCATTTTGCTGTGTTTCCGATATCGATATCATGTAAGAGTGTGGCTCTATTCAAGAGGATTGAAATGTTTGAAAAAAAGAGGCGAAAGAGATGTTGGAAAACTGTTTGATGCTTATATTTCTTTGTCCGATGTAGACGCCTCAGAGGTTCGAAAACACTTTCTACCAGGCAAGTTTAAAAATGTCTACACATTTTAAAACATTTATTTTACATTTTCTTAAAGGAAAACAATTAATAATAATTTGGTAGTAAAAAGGTTCACATAGTAAACCAATATGCAAATATGAGGCTTTGCATGACACATTTTACTCATTAACAGGTTGAACGCCACGTTAATTTTACATGACTTGCCCTTCTGGCAACGGTAAATAAATACAAACTAAATTTGCAAATATTAGACGGATTTTAACATATCTGACCAAAGTGTTGTATTATTAGGAATTGTTTAAAAATAGTGGAGGATAAAAATCTACTAAATTGAGTTTATTAAACCAAGAATCACAATAATTAAGTGAATTTTGAATACATTTATGTTATTCGCTGTCAGCCAGCTGTTTTTCGCTGCCTATGTGAAAGGTCAGTTTCAGCAAGCGGCGGCAGACGCAACCTAAATGGAATTTCAGTGTCAGCAACAGGTGGTTGACGCGGACTAAATGTAATTTCAGTGTCAGCCACCGATGGTTGACGCGGCCTAATTGGAAAGTACAGTGTCAGCCACCGATGGCTAACGCGGCGCTCAACGTCTTAACTTAGTCGAATCTCAGGTAGTTCAGTATAATCCTTGTATTAAGATCTCTGAATTGATCTGAATAAGAAAGCTTGGTTCCATGAGGCCGCTGCCCGGCTTTTATGCAACCCATCTCAATTCTTGATAGATGCAGAGACGTAAACTAGCTCAGTTTTGTAAAACAAAATTCTATTGGTAACGAAATTTGAGTTCTTTTTAGTTTAGTGTTTTTCATTTTAAGTAATTTTTCGACTACTACGTATCGAGAATTCAAAATATTATGTCAAATGATATTTAATTGTAATTATCTCGCGGTGACACTTTTAAAGTGTAATCAGCGTATTTAACCTTATATAATAATTATAATATAATAATTAACGAAGGTTAAATACGCTGATTACGATTATATACGATACGATACGATTTATATAATAATTATAATATAATAATTAACCTTATATAATTAATTGTAATCAGCGTATTTAACCTTTTAATAGTCCTACCTTTATTTAGCTAAAAATTTGTTAAAAATTGTGCAGAAAATGAAGCAGTTGGCATCCCTGTAGATGTAGAGATAAGAATGCAAATAAAGTAAAAGAAAATCTTGATGACAGTTGAATGTTGAATTATGATAAGTTGTTATAAATGTGTTCATAATGAGGTAATAAATAGTGTGGCAAACTCGATACTCCGTAAATCAATATAATCCGATAATTATAGCAACAAAAAAGAAATGGTGTTTCTTCTGAATAACTATTAAACAAGTTACTTTTTGACAAAAAGCTTTCTTATGTTAATATAAATGATATTTGAAAACTTTCCCCTTGATTGTAATTCAATTGTCACTTCATTGATATTTGAGAAAAATTGTCTTCGGAACGAATAAAAGATGACAGATAGGAAACGTTACTCTAGCTTCACTACCATTTGCAAAAATGTTTTACATATGGGCCAAATGTCGGCAGTTACGAGTATTCATAATAATTGAGTGAGTAGGGGAGAGTGGGGTCAATTGTAACATTTTTTACTTAANCGTGGCGTGAAAATATCTTTTGTGATGTAACTCTTTCAAAAGTACATAAAAATGGTTGCCATCAGGGGTGTACATGTAGATTTATTAAATACACCTTGTGCGCCACCTAGGAACCAAATCTATAACCCGACACTCGAAATTTTTGCTCTGTTACAATCGTACCCTGTTACAATTGACCCCACTCTCCCCTACTCTAATAAAGGAGCACTCATAATACTCATACTTTTAGAAAAGATTAGGCTTGGTTAGCTTTTCATACTTCCTAACTAATAGCTTAGTAGGCTTGGTTAGGATTTCATTTTAGTCATTTATATTTATTTATTTTGCTTTAAAGCTAGCCCAAGAGTATGAAATATAATTTCTGAGCCAGAAAGTAACCGTAATTTGTGAAACTTTATCATTGTTTCATTTGTATTTTCCTTTAGTACTGGAACTGAAGCACCCGTTCTATAAATTATTTGTACCCCAGAGAGATATTAAAACTGGAAATTTCGAAATAAACAATCTGATGAGACGAATGGTGGATTGCAAATGTACAGTCGTTTTGCTCACTAAGTAAGTGTAGCATCCCATTTTATTCCCTTGACTATTTTTTCCCTAATTTTATGCGAAGAATATCAAGATAAACTCTCTAACGTAACAAGTCGTGAATAGTAAGCGAACAGTCATTTTACTCACTAAGTGTACCAGTTTCTTTCGGTTTTATTTATTTAACTATATTTAATTGAATGCAAATATCATAAACTGCGAATTTATTAGTAGTATAATTTTACCGGCATCGATCTACTTAACTGCATCGGAAGTTATTAATGACACACACACCTGTTTGAAAAATATCAATTAATTTAAGACAAAATTTCCAACCTAAATGTAGCAGCTAATTTGAGACGGAGGGAGTATAATACTTGGTCTATCAGAAAATTTTGTCTCCCCATTTTATGCCTCCTTTTTAGAGTAAAGAAGAAAAAGGTTCTTTTATGAAAGAAATTCGTACAGAATATTTTTCCGTTAACTCAATGGTAATTTTCTAGCCTTATACAGATTCATACGAACAAATATATAAATTCAAACTTGTAACAAATTTACACAAAACTAAGCAGTATATCTGATTTATACAAGGGTAAATGCCCACAAAAATTTCTTTTATAAAAGAATCTTTTTCATCACTGTAAAAGAAGACGCGTACTTTTGCGGAGAAAACTTTATGGTTGGACCTAATACTGTGATAGAGCTCTCCTATTTCAGCAAAATAAGTAGTAGTGCTACCACTTTTCCTTTTTTGAAAAAATAGAACCGTAATATACAAAGACGTTAAGACCTTTCCTTAAGATTGAATGTAAAGTATTTGAAAGAAATAATTCTGTCACCTATTTCACCTAGATGTCACTAGTATATTAACCTCTTTTTGAGGCTGAGTATTAATAGGTTGAGAATCAGACAGTATTGCATGGTTGACATTTTTATTAAGGCTCAAATGAGAAGAATGTTGTCTTTTTTATTATAACTATTTATATTTTAGTTATTACTATTTATATCTTATTTTTTAAAAAAAATTCTTTCAATTCGAAGGGAGATGAAACTATTCGTTCTTATGTATTTTAAGTAAAACTCATAAATTTATGTGGGACAATGCTTTTTTTCCCGAAAAAGGAACATGGCTTCGTAATTTATTCACTATTTATATACTTTTTATATACTTTTATGCTGATTAAAACCAATGAAATCTGGATTTTATTTGTTCATAAACAACTATATCATGTGAATTTTCTGTTCACTACCTGAAAACAGGAACTACTTGGAAAACGAGTTTTGCATGGGGATATTTAGAATGGCATTTGCGAATTCGTTGGAGGAGAAATTGCATCAGATCATCCTTGTGAAGTTTGGACCCCTTCCACCCCTGAAAGAGATGGATCAGAGTCTGAAGACAGTGATGGAATCGTCGAGATGTCTCAAGTTCGAAGATAAGTTATTCTGGGATATGCTGCGATACGAAATGTCTGAAAAACGTCTTGATACTGGCATTGATTACGAACTGCAAGAAGATAGCTCTGATGATGTTCCTTTAATACAAGAGTTCTGAGTGCATATTATATCTAGAAATTAAGTGTGCATATATTTTAATTTTTATTTCCTACAACCAAAAGAAATGTCCAAGAATCTGTAAAAATTTAATTTTGCTTATTTCATTTTAAGAAAACATGGTAACATGTAGTCGGTAAAAATAAAGCTACATTTAATACATTCTGAGTTTTTATATGTGACTTTCCCGACACAGTCGTGAATTTAAATATAGTTTTAGTTTAAATTTATTCATTGACTTTATTCATAACGATTATTTATTTCGTTTAACTTTTAAAAAAACTGTATTCTTCCAATATTTTCATTAATATATGAAAGAAGCATAAAAATAATATAAATAAATTTTCAGCGTGATATAATGTATTGTATGTTGATCAAAAGATTGCAGAAACACATCCAGAAACCAATATGTGTTTGTTTAAATATGAGTTGTTTTGCTACTTGCAGCACTGATGATTTGCCTCTAATAAAAGAGTTCTGAATAGATATGTAAAAAAAAAGGTAGAAATAAAAAAATATATATAAATAAATTTTCCTTTTATGAAGTTTTATTATTATTTTCTACAAACAAATTAAAAGTCCAAGAATTTGTAAAACTATATTTTCCTCATTTAACTTGAAGAAAGCATGGTAACATGAAATGAGAAAAAAATACGCTACTTTTTAATACATTTTGAGTAACTTTCTCGACAGAGTTATGAATTATTAATGTATTCATAGTTTTAATTTATATTCATTAACTATATTCGTGATACTTATTTCAATTATTTCAGTTTATCGAAAAAATTGCTACGCATCTAATATTATGATTAACATATGAGCCAAACATAAAAATAAAAATAATAAATTTTCAGCATGTCATCTTCATCAAAAGACTAGAAAAACGCCCAGAAATACAATATGTAACGTTTAAACATAATAACTTAATTGTAATATTAAATACAGATAATTCCGTTTCAAAATTCTTCCAAAAAGTTGAGTTAATTCTGATGCTTGACCAAAAAGTCCCCTTTTCTTCTGACTTGGGTAGAAAAACGGACGACGGTATTTAATAGATGAACGGACAACGGGGAAATTGAATTGAACGGGCAATGGAGTTGAAGAACTGATCATCCCTTAATTAGATCAACAGTTTAAAGACGACATTGAATAAATGAGGACATTTAGTTCAAAACACAACTTTAATTTTAAAGTATAGCTATTGGATTATTTTCTATTAAAAATATAGATATTTATATTATTAAATAAATAGTTGAAGATGAATGTCTCGTTTCTTATTGATAAACTCCATGATTTAAATAGTTTAGTGACCAGTCTTGCTCTTTTTGAAAAATAATTCATACCAGGCTTTTGTGTTTTACTCGGTTTCTTTTCCCACTACAGGACGTTTACAGTTTCATACTTCACTTTCTAGATAAGAAAAAAGTTTGGCAAAAATAATTCAAACTCACATTGTAATATGTAAAAAGGGAAGTTTTTACGGTATTACAATTTAATGCGAGCAAGTGACCATTAATTTAGTTGGTTGGTTTCGTATGCCTGTTTAGGCAGAGGGGTGCGATTGTTCTTGTTTTCCAGTGGCGCCACCTAAGGTGAAGAATTCGATTTCTGCCACACTCATTCGTCGCACCCGTTCATAAGGTGGACCCTTTCATACATCCATTCATTTATCCACAGATCGTAATTTTCACCTGAATCAGAGAACGATCGATCTCCAATCCAGTACCCCCAGAGATTTTGATTTGTTATGGGAACATGGAGGACTTTGCGACTCGACAGATTTAACGTGCATCAGTCAGCAATTTACAACACGGGTGTGTTCGGCCTGCAGGTTCGAAACCACGAACATGGACCCAGTGCTCTACCGGTCTCATTAATTTAGTATTTATTAATTGACACTGCCTTCCCCTTCTGCTCATTTGGTTTACTACGAAATTTTACCATACATAAAAGTTTTCTGCAAATTATAGATTTTAATAGGTCGTGAGCCAGAAGAAATTTAAGAATTAATTTAATTCATTCTTCTTCCGAATTAATTTACTCTTTGCTTCTTTTAAAGTTAAATTGAAAGAACGTGTTACATTGTAAACACTGCGAAAATAAAAATTATGAATGGAACGCTTTATCAAGTGTATGTGTTAAAAATCAATCGGAGTACTAACCCAGAAGTCTTATTACGAATTTTAACCTCTAGCTCCATCTTTGCATAGCCTTACACAGTCCATAAACAAAATGTTACATCTAAGTTAAGAAGTATTCAATTGAAAGATCTATAAATATTTCGTTTTCCAGATTTTGTTCTCAAAACTTTTGAGTTGAAATTCTAGCCTACTCATCTTGCATAGTTATTACGACAGCTTCCTGTA